ATATTTGTAATCAGTTTAATGCATTTCAATCCAAAAAAATTAAAATGTTAACAATGTTTATGTTCAAGAAAGGATTCAAATGATTTCACTTTTTAAAATTTTCAGAAAGCATTAAACTAGATTAAATTGATATCATTTTTCGTCATTTTAACAGATTTGAAATGTTAACAGGAATTCAACTGAATTTAAGTGTGTTCAAATAGATTACTGAGATTGGAATAAATTTATTGATGGACAAAAATGTCATTCGTTTGGATTAAAATGATTTCAAGAATTCAGCTATACTTGTAATCATTTCAATCGATTTCAATACACTCGTTTTTACCGGGAGTTTATTTAAAAGTTTTCATAAAATTTTTTTCATCTTTAACAAATAAAATTTGTATTATATTTCAATTAGCATATATAATTTATTATTTTTACTTCTAAAAATAATTTGGAAAAAAATTAAGTAATTGTTTCTGATGTGTATTTAAATCAATTATTAAGTGTAATTATTAGTAAAGTAATAAATAATTTAATTTAAATTTCCATGAAGCTTTGATATTTATTTTTTAAAATAAATTGTTGCAGTATGTGTTTTAAATTAATACAAAAATTGGACTTACCATACATTTTCTTAAAAAGTAAATAGTACAAAATCACAAACAAATATTTAAACAAATATTGTATTTAACAAAATTAAAAATTTTAATTAAATAGTTTTTAAAAACTTTAATGATAAAATTTCGTTAAAATTTTGATTCTGCAAAATAGCCTCCTTTTGCATTTAAGACTGCTTGACACACTCGAGGCATTCTGCGTATAAGTTTCATTAAATAATCCTTTTCGATGCATTTCCACGCCGTTTCCAAGCAGTTCCGCAAGTCGATGGCATTTTTAGGTCTCATCGTCCGAACTCTTCTATCCAACTCGTCCCATAAAAGCTCGATTGGATTACAATCAGGTGATTGTGCAGGCCATTCCATTTTTGCCAAGATACCGTCTTCAACTTTTCGACCCACGTACGCTTTGCAGATTTTACTGATATGTTTTGGATCATTATCCTCTTGAAATTCAAATTTATTTCCAATAATTCGCTTACCACTTGGGACCATATGTCTCACAAGTATTCCATGGTACATTTTAGCATCCATTATACCAGTAATTTTCTTTAAATCTCCTACTTGCCCATTGTCGAAGCAGCCCCATACCATTTCTGATCCACCACCATGTTTTACAGTTGGCACTATCATATCCGAATTCATTCTTTCACCTACTTTACGTCGAACATAAACCCTGCGATTTCCTCTAAAAATTTGGAATTTCGATTCATCCGAAAAGAGAACTTTTAACCATTGCTCTTCAGTCCAATTTTTATGTTCTTTCGCCCACAACAGCCTTTTCTTTTTATTTGCAGCTCGCAAAAGAGGTTTTCTCGCAGCAATTCGACCTTGTAGTCCATTTTTTTTCAATACCCTTTTTACAGTGGTAACTGATATTGGATCTTCTCTCTGTTTATTTACTTCAGCAGTAATATCTGGAGCCGTCAGTTTTCTATTTTTTTTGCTTGAAATGACAATAAACTTTTCTTCATTTCTAGAAATACATTTTCTTCTTCCACGTCCTTTACGGTTAATAAAATCACTACTTTCTTTGTATCTTTGTAGAATGTAATGAACACCACTTTTACTTAGATTTAATTGTTTCGCAATATCATTACACGAAAAGCCTTCTTCTTTCAAAGTAATAATTTTTATCCGCTTTTTAATGTCAATTTCTTTTCTTGGTGCTATTGTTTTTAAAACTAATTGAAATTAAACACACATATAATTTTAAGATGTTTTTAAATGTGAAAAAATTACGTTATTAGAGCAAGCTACTGTCCTACACGGACGATTTGAAAATTATTATAAATGCTTTCCAGTCAAAACAAATCAGGCTACTTCACCAGGTTGCAGTTAGTAAACATTAGCGACCTTGAAAACGTGTCGAAGTCGTTCATACTTATTGATGTGTTTTGACTGGATATTACTATTAAAATTCGTAAAAATCTTAAAAAATTAAATCTTACTAAATGTTCACTTTATTTTAAAAAGTTATAAAAGAATTTATAAAAGAAAATAATAAATAATGACGTTTTACGAAGAATATAAAGAAACTCGAAAGTTCCTCGTTCCCCCCATGAATCCGTCCCTGCTTTCTCTCCCATTCGCAGCCGCGCACAGCCGCGCGAAGACAGAATTAAGTCGTCGTAGTTGAATTTCAATGCACCGTTCGTTCACAACACGGCGTCACATTTTTAATGATAAATTGATGACGGATTAACATTTTTTAATTTTCTAAAGCTTATTATAAAGCTGAAATTCTAAGGAAGATTTTTGTGTTTTTAAAAAAATTCTATCTATATTTTTCTAGATTTTTGAAAAGATTGAAGTCAAGAGACCAAAATGAGAAAATTTGATAATTTTTTTTTCTCTTTCTCACTCTATAACTCCAAAAATAGTTGACGAAATAACTTCAAATATGGATTATATTATGCTTAATTTAATAAGCTTTCTCACGGTGTTTAAGTTTTTTTTGTATCTCCTTTTATTGCCGAGATATGATTCAAAAAGTGATGGCATGTTTTTTAATAGAGTCGAGTGTAATCGTTCTGATAATTCTGGACGGTAGTGTATGCTTGCACTTCATATAATAAAAACTTATTTATTTATTCGGTACACAAAAATATCAAAATCTACAGGTGACAATGGACGAAGAAAACACGTACACTCAAGGCAACGCCATGACAACTAATGACACGTCATCTGATCACGCCCAAGCACGTCTCCCCTTCCAGAGGACTATAGACGCTAGGGGACTAAAAACTAGTCTATATATCGACTTCATTTTATCTGTTGAGTTCTTAAAGTTTCTATTAGTCTCTCTGAGACTACATTTAAGATTTACATATAAAAATAAGTCATAAATATGTATTGCTTTAAGATTAAGGCGTGTTAACAGTACTCTTAATTTAATTATGAGGCTAAAATATCGTTACAGACTAAAATTAAGCCTGATTTTAAAATTAGTTCTTCATAGATTTAAGACTTTTTTTCTGTGTTTTTATTCCGCGTATTCCAATATTATTTCCTGTCACTACCCATTTGAATTTCCGGTTTCTCATTGTATTGCTATGGCGATAAATTAATCACAAGGTCAAACACTATCCATAGCAGAGATAGATGTATTAGTATTGGATAATTTTCTTTCTGGGTTATACTTTATAGTCTTAATTCTAGTTCGTTGTCCTGCGCGATTTCAAAATGATGATTTACGCATTTTTGAAATTAATGAATTACTTAATTATTATTGTAATATAAAATTTTGTAAATTTTTTGACAATACTGGCGAAACAAATTCATAATTCTAATCAGCGGTCCCTAAAACGGCTAGATAGGGTGAATCAGATAGTAGTCGGACACTTTTTAATTTTGAATAGCTATAAAACCGTGTGAGATGAAAACAATTTGTTTTTTATTAATCATTTCTAAGGTCATTATAAACAAATATAAGCTTTTGTAATTAAAAGAAAATTTTTTTACGGATTTTAAAGGCTTTTTTGAGTGTCCGATTACTGTCGTATTCTTACTTGTTTATTTACTAATAAATTTACTATCGAAAGAAATTTTTTTATAAACATGATTGGTTTAATAGTTTTGTGTGATCGTAAGGAACAATATCACCTGAAGGAATTTGCAAAAAATGTGAATTGCACTTTTTAAACCGCGTTAATTAAAAAGATTACTTTAGGTTGCCGACTACTGTCGTATTCTTACTTGTTTATTTGAAAATTTTTTTAACTACTAAGAATTTTTTTGTAAACATGATTGGTACAATAGTTTTGTAGGACTGTAAGGAACAATCAAAAGTGAAAAAAATTTTAATTGCAATTTTTAAACCGTATTCATTAAAAAGATTTTCCTAGGTGGCCGACTGCTGTCTGGTTTACCCAATAAAGTTTTATAAAAGCCCAACACACTTTACATTCATAATAATCAGCGACCTGAAAAACCGCCAGATACCAAGTTTAATAAAAATCCAACAGTTTTTTCAATTATCGTCCGCCATATTAGATAAGCCATTTTAAAATTTGAAATTTTGACTACAGATTTATATTCAGCGACCCAAAAAACCATCAAATAATTAATTCTAAGTAAATGTAATTTATTTTTTTTAATTTTTTGACATTTTTAATGAGTCATCTTAGATTTTTTATTTTTCCACTCTGCATTTTAATGTAGATATTATTACACAGGAAAAAAAAGTCTGACTCCGTTTACACCTTAAATTCAGCCTATGTATTTCACATAAGTCTGTCCTTGTTTAACGGGGCTGACTCCGTTTACATCTTAAATTCAGCCTCAAAAATAGGCTGAAAGTAAAACTTTTTTTTTAGTGTGTATGTAAAGCTTAAGACATATCCATGAACATCCCAGGATTTACAAACTGCCGCAAACAAATTGATATTCCCAGGACAATCGCTATTGTAAATTGGGTTCCCGGGGTTGCTGAATACGAATCTGGGGTCAGATTTGCAAAATTTTTAAAATTCAAAATAGCAGATTCAATATGGCGGACTAATTTTTAAAAATTAAACGGATTTACTTAAAACTGTTACTCGGGGGTTTTTAGGGTCGCTGGTTACGAATCTGCTATTAGTTTTCAGAAAGTAAAAATGACGGATCCAATATGACGTACGAATTTTAAAAAATTAAACGGATGCACCCAAAAAACCCCGAGTAACAAGTTTAAGTGAATCCGTTAAATTTTTTAAAATTCGTCCGTCATAAATAACGTTTGTACTATAACAACAGATTTTCCACTTGGGTTTAGACCATTTCTGTCGATTAAATATTCGAAAGTTGGTACTTGAAGTACTTATTAATAAAACTTACTTTTTAATTAAACTTTACCTTCTTATTCTATATATATTTATATAACTGGAATTTCCTAAAAGCAAAACCTTCATTCTTTAGCACTGGTCTTAATGGGAAATCCTGCGTAATGAAGGCCCTTTGTGAAGCAGGGCAAAGAAGTGAATTGGAAATTGGAAAAGGTACTTTCATTCAAGAGCTTTTGCACGCCATTTTCACGTAAGTTGTCATTTAATCATTGGACAATTTATTTCGTGTTTACAAGTTTATATATATATATATATATATATATATATATATATATATATATATATATATACATGTATATAATATATTGTAGAGAGAGAATTTCTAATGTTACTTGCCGATCCTAATTACTACTTATAATTTGATTTTCAGTTTACCCAACGATGGTACCGCCTTCGAATCGATAGAGAACAAACTTTATGACTACGCATATAAGACCAAACAAGACTGCACAACTTTGTATCCAAACTGTCAATACTCTATTAACAATATCCTATTTTAAACCATGATTTTCAAACATTTTTTTAATGAAAACAATTTTTGACTCGAATTTAAAAATTTTAAATTATTGCTTCTCGTGGAGGAAGCTTTGTAGTCGTTTAATTTATGAAATTTAAAAAAAAGCTATAAACAATTTTTCCTTTATATAGGAATGCGTTATATAAGATCCTGAACACATGTCCGGATGTATGTATGTGTGGATCCCATTTTTTGTGAACACGATAACTTGAAGAGGTTTTAACGAATTTGGCTAAAAATTGCTAGGTATATATTAAAATAATATCTCAAAATGTATTGAGAGACTTTAAAAAATCCTCAAAGATTTTTTTTTGAGAATTTAAAAAAAAATTTCAAGATGTATAATAAAATCTTATTCTTTGCATCAAGACGGATAGATTGGTCTATATTAAGTATAAATTGTATGAGAATTAATAGAGTTAATCACAATTAAAGCCGAAAAATTTGCATTTTTATAAAAAAACCAGTTCTTTCATCAAAATTATGTTGCTGTACAATAAAATCTTACTCCTTACTTTTAAAAATCTTATTCTTTGTATCAAGACGGATCGGCTGGTGTATATTAAGTATATATTGTGTTGGGATTTATAGAATTAATCACAATTAAAGATAAAAAATTCGCACTTTTATAAAAAATTCATTTCCTTCTTCTAAATTATGTTGCTGTACAATAAAATATTATTCTTTACTTTAAAAAGAATAACAAATTTTATTCTTTATCTGGATAATATCAAAATATTGGAAAAATTATTTTTTATATAAACATAAATTAATTATAAAATTAAAGTGAATTGTAATTCTTATTAATTAATAAATCATTTAAAAAACTTTTGTTCAATATGCTCGACCAATTGCTCTGTCCCTAAAAACTATTTCAGATACGTTTCAAACTGATCAAGACTTTATGTTAATCTAAGAGGAACTAACAAAAAAGTAATTGGAATCAGCAAGTAAATAATTTTGGTGAACTTTGGTTACATGATAATATCTTGTTACGGTAAAATAAAATTGTTATCCCAACAATGTTAAGAGCACAATGGTTAGCAGCACCTCATGAAGGACATCCAGGAATTGTGGACATGAAGGCGAGGTTACGTATAAAAGTCTGGAGGCCTAAAATAGATAAGTATGTAGGAAAAGTAAAAAATTGTGAATAATGCATATTAGTTGAAAGAATATATTTTGATTGAATATTGATTTGAAAAAAAATGTCAGAAAAAATTTAGTGCCACTTGCTGCTCCGAAACATGACTCACCAGTAAGTTCCATTCATGAATAGCATATATTTATTTGCACAGATACACTACGCTTTATTAACTGTTTATTCCAAAATTAAAATTTTTTTTTAAAGTTGTAATCTTGCAAAGTCAACAAATTCTGAGGGACAAAGACTTTCTGTGCGGATATTAGTCAAGAATTTAAAAGAAGCGTTATTCATCTAAAATGTGTGGAAGAAAATTGGAAGGTGGTACAAGATTAAAAAAAGAAACAACACTACCGACACAAGAAAATTATGCATTCAGTTCACATTAGTGGTTAATAGTTCATTCTTAAAATTTAATGCGACCAATGTTATTAAAACTAAGTATTAGAATGTACTACGAAAATATTAAAGTATTATAATTTATTACTACGAATTAATCAACTAGTTTATAATGTTCACAAAATTTTATAAAATTGAAGGTATGTAGTGTTTAGTATTGTTTAATATTAATAAAGAAACACAGGGAGTCATGATGGTGAGACTGCCTATGTTTATATTTATTTACTGTACATATTCTAGCAACGAACGACGAACAAAACATCAACTTAAAGCTTACGTCAATCTCACAACAATATTGCCGGAAGCTTACCAGGCTAATGTAATGTACGTACAATCACACACATGCACTCGGATATTTTTTTAATCCATGATTTTTAAACTCCTGTAATTATATTGAAACATGTCAAAAAATTATAATAGGAAATTTCCACATACACAATACATTCTCTAAGAATATAATAAAATGAAATAAAATAAATGTTCCCTATTTAAACCGTATTTAATTATTTTGTAATAAAAAAGGTCTTATAAGAAAAAATTTAGGCATTTTTATTGCATAGTAATTACAGTAAAATAAAATAGAATAAATGTGTGTTTAACAATTTTTTTTTGTAAATTTAGTTAAAATGAAAAATGTTTTGTAGAATTGAGTAGCGAAGAATTTTAATGAGCATTGCACGTAGTTAAAAAGGAAACAACGTTTAGAATCATTTAGCACTAAAATGTTGAACTCGAAAGTGTGATACCGTTGTGACTACAGTAAAAAAGAATAATCAGTTTCATTTATGTAAACGTTAAATCTGTTATATTATTGGAAGACTTGCAATTTGCGAGAAAATAAAGAGAAAAAAAGAATGCCTAAAAGTAACAATTTTCTTCAAATTCTTCTCTGTTTCTTATTCTTTATATCACAGCTAACAATCTCAGAATCAATAAATACTACTCTTCCTAATTTACTAGATCATAAAGTTCGAAGAGAAGTTCCCGAAACTAAAAAGTACCTTCTCTTTCCACAAGGCAGTAATGTTCAGGTAAGTGAGCTATACATTGTAAGTTCCAAAATAATTATTGACATTACAGATTTACACTAAAAGCAATGAAATTCCTTTTAGTAAAAAAGGAATAAAGTAAAATTATAAAAATTTTGAAAACAAAAATAATTAAGAGAAGTAGATAATATTGTAAAAAAAAACAAGAAGAATAATTCAATTTTATTGTGAAAGAAATCATTTTTTAAAAAGGTTTAATGTTTATTGACAAAACAAAAAATTTTAAAGAGTAAATTATTTATTTTCTTTTTCAAATGAAATCCTTTTGTGACAAAAGGATTAATTTTTAAAAATAAAAATTAAGTAATAACAGTAATATAAAGTAAATAAAATATTAAACTTATATCCAAATAAACTAAAAGTTTAACCAATGTAAATTGTCCTTTTTCAGGAGTAAAATTTTTTTATTGTTGTTTTATTCGAATATATAACCATAAGAAAAATTAAAAAAAGAAATAAATTATTTTCCTTTTAAATTTTTAAAAATTTTACTTCCTTGAAGAAATTAAAATTTCCAAAATCAATTTTATAATTGTGTCCTCAAAACTATAAAAAAATTTAATGACAAATATTAGGGGAACATAGTCAATGTTGGGCCATTGTTAAGGTAGGCCCATCGAGAATATTTTTTTGATTTAAATAATTTTATTTGGATCTAATAAATATTTGTTTGCTTTAAATAACTTATAGTCTAAAACTGTTTACTATTCAAATTTTAACCGCTTAAGGGATTACGTCACCCTGAACGCATTTAAATTGGATGACTTTTTATGAATTTTTTTTTACGAAAATATTTAAGATGAGACATTTTTATTTTTTATTGTTTCTTTATACATATTGTAAGCTATATAAAAACGAAATAGTTTTCTTTTAATTTTAAATGGCGGAGATACATGCATTTCAGCCCAGCAGTACATTTGATGGTGAGAATTATTGGCATTTCAATTTTTATCTGAAACAAGTAAAAAAACATTTTTTCTAAAAATTTATAAATTTTGAACAGAGACGCAGCCGTTTTGAATTTTTTTACGTAACTGGGGGAATCAAAAACTAAAAACCTTATTTATTTATACAGTTAATTTATTGTATGACAATTGGAACATACGCGAGACCAGGAGGATTTTTCACAATGGGAGTAACAGCAGGATTAGCTTATGAACTGCCACACAAACGTACAGTGCTATTTAGAAAGCCTGCGGAAGTTTATCATCGTAGAAGCAGACGAGAATTATATCAAAAACTTGAATTAATGCTGAAGACGTAAGTTGCAGTTGATCGGTACGAACAATAAATTAGTGATTTTAGTGCATAAAAAATGTTTTAATGTAAAACCATTATAATTATATCACATGCACTTATAATCACTGGGAATAAAATAGAACACTCTTTAACAAATTCTCTACATCTATAAACATAAACAAAATAATAAACTATTAATATAACAAACAATAATATATTTTGTTTAATTCATTTGTGTGTTATTACAATCGAAAACGATATCGGATTTTTCAATAGAGGTGAGAAGAAAGCAAAATTTCATAGTAGGAGAAGGATTCGTGATATTATTATTTTCTATTTAAAGTTTTATGCTTTCTGCTCGCATGGGGCTGTATCTTCACATTGACGCTAATACATCTTTTCGAAAAATAATTTATTTATATTTACTTATTTTTCACTCTTTTAGTTAAAGAAAGTACAGCACTAAAAGTTGTATAAATCATTTAGAAAGATTAAATCAATAACTCTTTTTACAGACAAGGCAAAGATGGGAAAGAGTGTGTATTGAAAGCTCTCTGTAACGCTGGAAAACGAAAAAGAACGAAAGAAGGAAAAGGTTCCTTTATAGAAGAGATTCTGCACTCCATATTCACGTAAGTTTTGCATAGCTTTGAATTCTGAGTTTAAATATTATGCATCGAAAAAATGAAATCTCAAAGTGAGAAGAAAATTCCGCACAACAATTATTTTTACATTCTATTTTTAATATACGAATATTCATCTATAAAAAGAGGCGTTTTTGTTCATATTTGAAAGTTGTTTAACTGAAAGATTAATTTCAATCTTTCTTCTTAAATTGAAACTATTCCTCTAAAATTGAAACAAACTTACACTAGAAAAATAAGAACCCATTTCATCCGAAAAGTCCGTTTTTTCGCTTTACATTTGTACTTATCTTTGTCAAAGACGGTGGGCTTAAAAATTTACACATGGTGTTTCTTATGTATTTTTAGTATACTTTCAGAATCTGCAAGAAAATTTTAATTTTGACTTAAGGATTAAAAGTTGTGATTGTTTAATCAAAAAAAGACAAAATTTTTGTGTTTTTTTCTTTAAGACTATAGTCTTAATGAAAAAAACAGGAAAAATTATGAATGACAAAATATCGCATCCAAAATTTATTACCTTTCATTTAGGCATTATTAGAAATTTTTTTAAAATTCATAATGGCGGATTAACAATAGTGTTCAAAATATCTAAACTTTTAAATAATCTAAAAAACAAATTGCATACACATTTTCTCATCACAAATGACTAAAATTAGTATCAAACAAACATCTTCACTAAAAAACCTGTTGATAGTACAGTTCCGTATTGACTGTTGTGGAGTGCTACTTGACGTTTAAACTTACAGCTCAATCAAAATTGGGCGAGTTATTATTAAACTTGACTATCAATGGTGTTGAGTGAGCGGCTGCTTGACAGATAGTTCGGCAGCTTGTTCAAAAAGGAGAGTTACTCTCCCAAAAATAAAGTGAGCTCTGCGTTTTTTTTAACGCAGCACTTCAATGCATTGAGCGAACAGTTCTACCAACAGTTTTTCAGTGTATGTTAAAATTTTATCACTGTGACTAATTTAACAATAGTTTGAACAATTTTTCTAAACAAATTTTATAAATAAATTAAGAATTGACAACAATCGAATCTGAAAAATAGTATCTTCTTCCACCGACTTTTTTACTGTTTTCTTAGTAAATCTTTGAGATAAAAATTATTGTCTACATAATTATTTAACAACTTTAAAGTCACTTGTTTTAATTTTGCAATTTTGCAAGGGATTTAACAAAATGTTCCCTTTTCATGAAAACGTTCACATAATAAGTAATATCTATTTTTATATTTAACAAATTTTTTTTAAATTCTTACAAGTGTATTGTAAAACAAACTTTATAAATCTATTTTTTGAGTATATTCTTTTTCACTGACATTATTGAGAATCCATTTTTTCTATATTTAAATTTTTAATACTTTTGTTGCAGGTTGCCAAGTGGATCTTATCATTTGGATCCAAAGACCGAGTATGAAAAAGCCCATGAAACAGATGTCGACTGTAACAAAGCATTTCCTTCCTGTGCAGATTCAATTTTTGACTGAGAATATTTTCAGTTACAATAAAAAATACAATTCAGAAGATGATGGAAAAAATAGTACAGTGTGCAACGAGTGAGGGACGCTGGTGATTTCTAACAAGTGTGAAATAGCTGTCTCTGTCAAGTTGCACACGATAATTTTTCCAAATACTGTCCAGATAGTGTGACTGAGAGAGTATGTTGAGAGGCAACGAATGATTAGATTTCGAGATCCAAAACGAGAGTCCTGGTTATTGGCTTGTGAATCCACATACAATCAAACGTACAAAAGTGTTTTGTGACGTGAGGAGATTCGGTGGTCGAAACTCATCTTACCACAACAAAAACCAACTAATAAGATAAAAATGTCGATTAATAATTGTATTTAAACAAGTAAACAAATTTTTTAAATGAATAGAACGCTTATGTTAATGATTTATTAATATTACGTTTGATTCACAATAGTGTCACATTTTTTTATTTTAGTTCAAAAATTATTTTTGTAGACTACGACTATAACACGATAAAATGATATCAATCGGAAAAAATACTTAATACAATTGAAATTAGCTGCGATTATGTACATCTGTTTAATGACAAAACCAGAGCTTTAATGAGGTTGGCTTAGCGGATAAGATTGTACAAGCATAAGCTAATAAAAAAAAATGCAACTTTTATTCGTAAATACTCATCAATGAATATTAGGGTAGTCCAAAAATACATGGGAAAAAAAATCAGAATTTTAATGCTCTCACCCTCTAGAATTGTTCTATATGGAGAAAAAAAATATCCCTATTTTTTTAAAATAAAAAAAATATTTAGAGGTCGCTCAAAGCGCTCAAAGTTTCCCATGTAAAATGCATGGGGAAAAAACACTTTTTCGTAGAATTGGTATAGAATCCTTGAAAATCAATATTTTTTATTCAGCAAACTCTGTTTCTCTTCAGAAGACTTCAAAGAATAGTGCTAAATTGTTCATTTAATCGTTTTTTAAATTAACTATTTTTTATAGTACCCCAAAAAAACGCCATAAATTTCAAAATTACAAAAAAATCGTTAAAAAATATTTTTTATTATTTTCATCAAAGTTTTTTCCTAGATTATGAATAAATAACACAAATATTGATTTTTAAAAATTATTCCATGTAATTGCTAATTTGTTTAAACAAATTATTATTATTGTTTATTTACAACTTTTTATCTAATTGAGCTAAAGAGTTGCGATTTTTTCTCAATTTTGCAACTTTTCAGGACGAATGTAACCAATCACTATCAACTAACTAAGAATATTAATTTTACCAGTTGTTTAAATAAATTACTATTGTTTAACTTCCACTTTTTATCAAATTGAGCTGCAAAGTCGCAATTTTTTTCTCAATTTTGAATTTTTCCAAGCCAAATGTAACTAGTGATTAACAACAATCTAAGAATTACAATTTTACCAGTTGTTTAAACAAATTGTTATTTTTAATTTGAAGCTATGGCAGTAGTAATTTCAATGATGTAAATAAAAGTTTTTGTACTTAACATTTTTATAATAATAAATTTATTGTTCACAATTTTTACTCGATAATTAAGTCTTACATTTAATATTACTTCACAAAAAAATAAAATGTACAATTAAGAAAAAGTTGCAACTCTGTAGACTCCTTTTTGATAAAAAGTGGAAATTAAACACTAGTAATTTGTTTAAACAATTGGTAAAATTAATATTCTGTGATAGTGAGTGGCTACATTCGGCCTGAAAAGTTGCAAAATTGAGAAAAAATCGTAACTCTTTAGCTCAATTAAATAAAAAGTTGTAAATAAACAATAATAATAATTTGTTTAAACAAATTAGCAATTACATGTAATAATGTTTTAAAATCAATATTTGTGTTATTTATTCATAATCTAGTAAAAAACTTTAATAAAAATAGTAAAAAATATTTTTCAACGATTTTTTTACATAACTTTGAAATTTATAGGGTTTTTTTGGGGCACTATAAAAAATAGTTAGGGGAGACTAGGGTAAACCCGCTCACTAGCGATTTTACGCTATGAACTCAACTTAAGATGGAGATATTGGTACTGTGAATAGTACTTAACATTCAACTTATATTAACGAACTTTCGTTTAGTTTCATGAATTCAACATAGAATCAGAGACGATCAAATGTTTTTAGAGGTGTCAGAAAAAAACGTTTTTTGGATTTTTAAGTTTTTTGATCATTATTTTTGAGTCTTAATTTATCTGGTAAATTTTTTTTTTGCTATTGGATGTCCTTCCTCGAAGTACATATATAGTTTTGTCTTATTTTAAAAAGATTTAATTAAATTTATTCTGAAATGTGAGGAATACACTCGGGGTAAAGTCGCTCACTTAGTTTTAAATTTAAAATTTAGAATAAAATAATTTCACGTATTATATTTCAACAATAACACAATTTATGACTTATTAAAACCAAAATTGTAACTACATTTCACTTTCTCTTAATAAAATATAACACTTTTTAAATCCATAGTTGTAATTCATGAAATCTATGTTCATTATTTATTAAACCAATTTGTTGTTTATAGAATTGTTTATATAACTCATAAATTATCAATAATAAATCATACTTAAGACGGGAATAAGACGAACTTCAATATTTAAAAAATAAAACTGTTCCGTCTTGAAAAGATAAAGTGAGCAGGTTTAGCCTGGAAAATTGTAATTTCGAAATTTGGTATATGTTTATTAAAAAGTTTCTCTAAATAAAACTAAAAAAGATCAATCAAAAACTCCCCGTGTAGAAATTGCCCTACTAGGGCCATAGTAAGGAATGAAACGCCGCGCCCGATCAGGGCCAGATCGGGGCGACAAGAAAATGTGGATTTCCTGATCAGGGCCACATCGGGCGCGGCGTTTCATTCCCTAATAGGTCGGCCCTATCCGGCCCTGATCAGGGCCCTAGCGAAATTTCTACACGGGTCTTTTTAATTTTTTTAGTAGAAATCATAAGCTTTTAAATGATATAAATTAACTTGGATTTAGAGAATAATTTCCTAGATTTTAGCCGATCTGAAAAAAAGTGAGCGGGTTTACCCCAGTCTCCCTTAATTTAAAAAAATGATTAAACAAGTTATCACTATTCTTCGAAGTCTTCTCAAGAGAAACAGAGTTTGCTGAATGAAAAATATTTATTTTCAAGGATTCTATACCAATTCTACGAAAAAGTGTTTTTATCCCACATGCACAAAAATGGCGCTTTTAGATAGCTGACGACAGAGAGTAAAGTCACTCATTTGTTCGACCGTATGAAAATGGCGACCATTTTCTCCCATGTGCAAAAGTAACAGCTGATCCCATGCATTATTTTTGCCTAAGGGAGAAAACGGCCGCCATTTTCATACAAGTCGAACAAGTGAATGACTTTTACTCCCTGTCGTCTGCTATCTGAAATCGCCACTTTTGTGCATTAGGAATAAAAAATATCGTAAGTAAATCCCTAGATATTTTTTATTTTCAAAAAAAAATAGGGGTATTTTTTTTCTCCATATAGAACAATCCTAGGGGGTGAGAGCATTAAAATGTAAATTAATTAGTACAATGCTTAACATTGAGAATTATTCGCTTTTGAAAAATTCTTGATTTATTTATTACAAATTAGTGTTCTTATTTTAATGTAAATCGACCTATAATTGCGTTACTACAATGTACTTTCTTCCTTCTATCTGATGACATTGGAAATGTTATCCTTCCAAAAAAAATTTTGTAGATCACCAAACAACGAAAGCCCATTTTCATAACCAAGTGGAACATAACAATAGCCAGCAAGGTATTTAATGCCGTTGAATTTAATCCACTTGGTTGTGCAGAAACTTTTTAGATCAGAAAACAGAAACCTGAAATATATTCTTATAAAAATTTATGATAAAGTTTCTAGTAAAAAACAACGAAAAATTTTACCTAAATGAAAATTTGGATGATGAGACACATTTTTGGGTCCATTTCGAATTTGCTTTATGTTGACATAATGAACTTCAGTGATTGACCCATTTGGTGTTTCTGCGACAAAGTTAAAATTGGTTTATTCTAATTTCGCATTGATTGGACAATTTTTTTAAAATACTGCGGATTGTCCAAAAGTGAATTAGAGGTCCAAAAATTTTAATCATTCTTGGATAATGGACAAGGAAGTGTTGCTTCGGTTCTGATTTTTTTCTGATACTTGAACAAGCCTCTTGTAAGTATTTTCGTATTTTTCTAAATACAGTAAACCCTCGTTAACACGAACATGAAGGGACCGAAAATTTAGCAGTTCGTGTTAAAATAATTCGTGTTATAGGGGCATTCATAATAAATGACATAAAGTACCATAATTAATAATTTTGTTTTTAGGTCGATATTCGATTGTTTTTTTTACTCATTGCAATATAAACACTATTTCTTGTATTATTTGATAGAAATATGTTTTCATACTAATTGATCAAACGATTAATAGAATTATTACATTATCAAAAATATTTTAAGAGGTGAAAAAATAGGAGGAACAAAGAACTTTAAGTGAGATGTTACCAATTTGTACGCGTTAACCAAGCTAAGAACGAAATAAGGACCGCAAAAACTGTTTGAGTTTCGTGTTAACCGGGTTTCGTGTTAACCGAGGACGTCTCTATACAGTTTATATGCATCTCTGCCGGGACCGCAATTTTTGTTCGTGCTAAGAGAGAATTCGTGTTAACTGAGTACGCGTTAACGAGGGTTTACTGTATAAGGGAATAAAATATTCTAAATAACTTAACGATTTTAATGAAATTGTATGCGATTAAATGATAGCTATTATCTTTAACAGTTAAATATGATTTTCTAGATAGTGAAAGTTTCTATCATTGATGTTATCAATAACAGCAAATGGTAAAGCAATAGGTAATAACCTTAATTTGTTATTTTTAGTTATATGTATGCGCTTTATTGGTGAAGGTTCAGATAATATTAAGATCATTATAATGATGATATTTAGCTGAAAAAGAATCCTTACATCCACAAACCTTGTGTATTCTCTTATTAATTCATATTATTTCTGAAACAGAACATATATTACTTCCTCATTCGTCAATTTAATAGCTTTTGCTTTTTTCATATCCTCAACTATCACTTCTGAAATTGGATCACAACCATATTTTGCAATGTCTGAGGATTTCACAATAGCAACTAAATTAATTGAAGACACAGATCCTTGATTTTTCAGAGATTGAAAAATTTTATTTTTAGTACCTTTTTCTGGAATGAATTTTGATATTCCGCCCAGATAGCAACCGAATAAAAGACCTTGACGTTTCTGGCTTGGATCTGGCTAAAAACCCAAGCAGTGCTTAAACTATATCTATAAGCTCCCTCCCGATAGCAACACTAGCGTCCAACTTTTAGTGGGGCTCCCCGTCATTTTTAATTTTAAAAAACTGACATCAAATTCGATTTTGCCAACCCCGAAAACCTTAAATATTATAAAATTATATTTTTTGGACCGTTTTAGTCCCAAAACCTATTTTCAAACTACACTGCAAAAGAGGTTAATTATGTAAAATCAGTTGTCAATAATAACTTGATAAGAGGTTGTTCAAACACTCAATTTACAGTTACGAAATATATGAATCAATAGTCATAACACATTTAAAAGTTTCTCAAAGGATAGATAAAACTTTTTTAAAAGACGTTTTGCTGTTTGGAATAAACAGAAATTTTTTTAAATAAAATAACTGATTAAAAAAGATTATAATTATATATCAATCAGAAATTAGTTATGAGAAGCTTAATTAAACTTTGTTTTTTGTCATTATTAGTCAACTTTACTATGGAAAATGATTTGTACTTTCAAAATCAAACTCATTTAATAGAAATTGAATCAAATTTGCAAAATATTCACCATAGAATAAAGAAAAGATCGTTAAATTTTCCAAAAGGAAGTGCTTTTGTGGTAAGTATCTTATGCAGTGTAATAAATTAAAATTGTACAAAAATTTTATGTGGGCCATTTTATGTAAAAAGGTAAATGACTTTGTTCACTTGTAGTTTTAATCAATTCAAAAGTTAAAAAGTTTAAAATTAAGCATTTTTAATTTAGAATCGAATGCCGAGTGGCTTTTTTAAAAAACAGTTAAAAAAGCCTAAAATTGTTACTCAGGGGTTTTTATGGGTCTCTGAATGAGAATTTGAGTTCAGAATTTAAAATTCAAAATAGCGGATCTAATACAACAAAACATTATTTTAAAAATATGCAAAGCATAGTCCTAAAAAGTTCTCATTAAAAATGATTTTAATTAATTTCAATTAAAGAAAAGTCCTGAAATTGACTGATTGGAAGCGATTTCAATTCTATTAAATAAAATTGAAGTCCTAAAAAGGACTGATTGAAAATTATGTATATGCAGATGACAATGTCAGTAGTGAAAACCCTTCCCATAAAAGGGTTCACCTGGAATCAAGTTCATGAGTTTGATGTCATTTGGCCAATATCAAACGGATCGGATAAACCAAATCCAAAACGAAAAATGCAGTACCAAAAGATGAAAAAATATCGACCACCATATTGGAGGAATAGAATTCATAGAAGGGAATTATATTCTAATTTTGAATTGGCTCTCGAAAGGTAAACTAATATAACCTACAAATATGGCGATATTAGAAAAAAGTGCCGTAATGATATTAATTAAAAAAGATTAAATAAAAAAAAATCACCTACGTATTGACTGTAAAACTATCACTAGGGTATAATTTATTTTGTATTCCATAAGCAATAATAATTTGTTTAAAAGTTCTTACTCAACGGTTTTTGAGGTCGCTGACAAAGAAGCTGATATCGGACTTAAGAAATTTAAAATGGCGGATCCAATATGGCGGACAAATTTTATATTTACTCAAAACGCTAAAGTGTAAATTTTAGGAAATTATAAGTTTTTAGTAAGTGTAAGGCATGACGTGCCCAACCACAAACTTGCCGGATTAAATGATAAATTTAATAATTATGCAAAGATTGATGAATCATGTTCTTTTATTTGTCAAAATCAAAATAGCACCAACGCGAAAGTCAGACCCCAGTCAATTTTAACAAAAACAAAACTCAATTCCTTAGCGCATCTATGGTATATAGTGCATATTATACTGTCTCGAAAAAGTCGAATTATGATATTATTGCTATTATTATTATTAAACTTTTTCTTTTAACTACCAAATATTTTATTGCTTCTAATTACTTTTTGTAGTTGTAACTTTTGTTGTTGTATTTCAGATTCAATTTACCGGGAAAAATTTGCATGCTGAGAACAATTTGTGAAGCTAAAATATTTCTACAACCACCTGGAGTTTCCTTAATCGAAGACATGCTTCGTGTAATTTTAAGGTAATTGAGATCGATAAAGGGTTTTTAATCAAGGAATCTGGAAATCAGAAATATTTGACTTTTTTGCCTTAAGAAGATTTTCATTGATTTTGAAATAGCTTCTGCAGTAATTTCAAATGCAAATCCAAGTCCAACTCCTAGTGCCAAAGAATAAAATTTCAAATTAATTGTAAAAATTTAGAAACTATAAATATGTAAATATGTTTATTAACAAAAACCTATAGTCACTTTTGTATCTACTATTATTATTTCTTCATAAATAAGCGGTTTTAACTTTTTAAGGCTGAAAACGTGAAGACCTGTCTCCACAGGAGGTTTAAAGAAAAAAGTTAATATTTTTAGTAATATGCGAAATAAACACAATTATTATTGACATTTTAGTATGGTATACTTTAGTAGATTTTGCTAAATAGTATATTACACAACAAGGGATTTATTTAATTTATTTGCTGTAATGCTAAAAACACTCTCAAAAATAAGACACGACGGTTCTAGAGAAGATTTTAGTAGTGTTTCACATCCATTCGAGAAATTCATTTTTTTCAAGCGATTTTGTTGGTTATCGTCTTTGTTTATCGAATGATCATATTATCTATTTTTTCGTTAATTGTCAAATCATATCGTATAATTTTTTAATTGTCATCGTCCGAACTTCTCGATATTCGCTCATAACTGACAGCTGTAAATAATAGTCCAATAATCAAATATTTTAATTGTAACCGTGGCTTCATCACACAGTGGGGCAAAATGGCAAAATTTGGTTCAAATTGATTTCTAGACTACAATTTTAAATCAAATTAAAAAAAAAATTTTTTCCCTAACGCAAAACTAAATTCTGAAGAGATACGTGAGAGTCGATTTTTTAATTTTTGTTTTATAAATTTTTAATCTTTATGCAAAGTGTATAAAAATTTTTTTTTACATTTTTCGATTTCTTTTGCTCAAAAAAATTCTTGCATACTTAAAATTGTATACATTTAATGTCTGGCGGTGTGTAAGTAGTAAAAAAAAAGTTTTTGCATTTAAAAATTGTTATAAACAATTTTTATAAATAATTACACTTTATAGGAAGTTATGTTTAAAAATACATTTTTTAAAAATGAAATTTGCTTTAGATTATTGTAATTATACTTTCTTTTTGTTAATCTGATATTTTGAAATAATTTTTTTCTTAATTGTTTAAACAATTTTTATAAACAATTGTACTGTAAGGACATTTTTGGGCAGAAATGAATCGAATTTTTTACGAATAATGTTTCATCTAATCCGCTTAGAGATTTTCTTTATAAAAAAGTCATTTTTCAATTAATGTTATCATTGTTATAAACAAATTATATAAACAATTACATTTTTCGGGAAGTTATGTCTAAAAAAAAATTTTTTTAATTAAATTTTCTTTAGATTATTCCAATTAAACTTTCTTTTTGTTAAACTGATCTTTTGTAATACATTTTCTTAATTGTTTAAAGAAAATTGTTTTAAAGAAATTTTATAAACAATTGTACTGTAAGGACATTTTTGGGAAGAAATAAATCGAATTTTTTAATAATAATGTTTTATCTAAGCCGCCCAGAGATTTTCTTTGTAAAAAAGCCATTTTTTAATTAATGTTATCATTGTTATAAACAAATTAAATAAACAATTACATTTTTCGGCAAGTTATGTTTGAAAAACATTTTTCCGACTTTCTCGTCAGTAAAGAAACGTACAACAGTTTTTCCTAGACCAAAAAATAATTTAGAAATGAATTTGAATTACTTCTGTCAGTTCTGAAAAAAACATCAATAGATTATTTTTATTATTTTTATTTTTCCTGAGTTTTCATAGATTTTCATACATTTTCCGGACAGTAGGGAAAATCTATATTTTTCAATTAATCATTTTAACGAAAGCAAAGTTTAATTGCAATAATGCAAAGCAAATTTCATTTAAAAAATTTTTTGTAGACATAACTTCCCGAAAAATGTAATTGTTTATATAGTTTGTTTATAACAATGATAACATTAATTGAAAAATGACTTTTTTATAAAGAAAATCTCTAAGCGGCTTAGATGAAACATTATTCGTAAAAAATTCGATTCATTTCTGCCCAAAAATGTCCTTACAGTACATTTGTTTATAAAAATTGTTTAAACAATTAAAAAAAATTATTTCAAAATATCAGATTAACAAAAAGAAAGTATAATTACAATAATCTAACGCAAATTTCTTTTTAAAAAAATTTTTTTTAAACAGAACAAATATAAATAATATTTAAATTATTGAGAGCGTATAAACTTGAAGACGAATTCACGAACGTAAAATATTATATATAGAACTTTTTCTATTTTTATTTTATCTATGTTTTATGATTGACAATTATCTTATTTCTTTATGTATATATTGGATGTGCGTATGTGTATATAATCTTTAATTATTTTGTTTTTGGCTTTTTGTTTATGCCTAACGTTAAGTTTAATCTTTTTATATAAATTTGAAATTATAAAATTAAATTGTTAAATTTTTACTGATATTTGTGTGTTTCTGTCTATAATTTATTTAAAATTTATGTTCCTTATTGTCTTTAATATTTCATTTTTATATTTTATTTGTAATTCTCATTAAATTTTATTGTCGCGGTATTTTTGTATTTAAAATGTAAGAAAATCGTTACATATTCTAACGGAAATTTCTAATATTAGATTCCAAGAAATTTTTCTACATGGCAACTTTAAGGAAACTTTTTTTGAACTCTTTTACAACATGCAGAATCTTTGACTCCAGGTTTTTGGTAGAACGTATTTTTTCTCTTAAGAGGATATTAAATTCGGATTTCTGAATAATTTTCAGAAAGTTTAAAAATTTTTTATCTATAAAATACAAAAGTTCAAGATTTCTTGAGTAAAAAATCCCTTCTTTATATTTAAGGTACATATTTCAATTTAAACTTCAAAATAAGAATAAAAGAATCTAATGATTATATTTATTTCAGTAATCATGGACTGATCAAGACGAGTCTAGATGATTATGATTTGGCTCATCAGACCAAAGAGGATTGTCATATTGTATACCCTTGTCCGATTTCACTATTACACTTGTTTTTTAATTACAACAATTATATTTATAATTAGTCAACAAAGATAATGTTTCTTCATAATAATGATTAAGTACAAAAAAGTTTCTTTATTTCGAAACTTAATCAAAAAATTATCAAGCATCATTCTGGCTGTTATTTAATTATTCATTCCATTAAATAATAAGTTAATTAAATACTCAACCAATTAAGTTATTATAGAAACATTAAACAATGTTCGATCAAATGAATCAAACTTATGTTCTTTTGAAAATCACCATTTTTATTTACTTTTGATAAATGTCTCTTTTTGTAAGTTTTAAGATATTAAAACAACAAAATCGTCGTTATTTATGTAAAATGTAAATAATATATCTTATATTTTGTATAAAAGTTACAAATGTAACTAAGACTATTCAAACTATAAGAATAGCAATATATTTGACATATTTTTTAAGTACTTTTAGTATTCCCACAAGAAACAACACTTCTGCTACTATGAAACTGAGTACGAGCAGTATATGTAATATATTCTTGTTGAGAATTATTTTCAACAATGCTCCCGTCATGGTTTATTATGGTTCCACTTAACCCATTAACGCCCAAATGTATAATTTTTTGTAACAAAGTTTTTTGACACTGTATTTTAACATAAAAACTTTACAGAAAAATTCAAAATAGTCATTTCTTATTATCCATAAACCGCTCTTTGTGATGACATGCCACAAAGTTTTATAAATTTATAAATAAATAAATTACACATGGTTTAAAAAAACGTTAAATTTTTAAGTTTTTTGTCCTAAATATCACATAAAAAATATATACTCTAATAGATAGGGATATTCCGAAAACAAAATCTTTAAAATCGCGTCTAAGTGAATTTTTATTTACAATATCGTAGCCATGTGAACAAAATGGCAAAACTTAATAGATTTCTATAAAATTTGATATTCATCTGATTTCAGTTGAATATATTGAATGTTGAAAAATTAATCAGCCATCTTGGATCCGCCATTTTAAATTTCAACTTTGGAATCGTATTCAGCGACTTCACAAACCCACAAGTATCAACATTCACTTGATTTCAGTTGAATATATTAAATATTAAGAAATTAATCGACCATTTTGGATTATTTTGAGGTTTTTATTTCAGACCATAGATTTGTATTCAGTGAGCTCACAAATATGAAAATTAGTAGGTAGTTTTATATATAATTTTAGTCTTAAAATGTAAACATTTTTAAAGTTTAAATTAAAAAAATGATTATTTTACATCACATTCGTACCTATTGTGGTCGACATTTTTAAAATTTTGAAAAGTGACACTCGGCATTCTATTCTACATGAAAAATGCTAAATTTTAATCTCCCTACGGTTATACCGAGTATACTCGGGGTGTATCTTTCATTTATTTATTTAAAAAAATTAAATTCGAAAGTCATATAAATAAAACTCTTAGTGTAACTTAAAGCTAAATAGTTGTATTTAATATCAAAATAAAAATAAAATAGTCAAAATTAGTTTTAACAAAATTATAAATTTATTTCCTGCAAAATTAAAAAATGATAAAACCGCAGGAGGGTTAAGCCCAATAACTTTGATATTGCTTTAAATCACAAGTGGACAATGCCATTTGCCTTTTCACATGAAATAACCTATATATATATAATATTTTTTTATTATTATTTATAATATTATTTATTTTATTTAAATTTTCATATTTTTTTCCATATTCTTCTCACAAGTAAAATGTTGTGAACGTTATGAATACATCAGATGTAATGAAAAGTACATAAAAACTGATTTGGAAGATTTAAGAAACAAATAATAGTAAAAGTAATTGGAGGAAAAGATGCGAAAATTAACACCTGCACTGACCGTTTCTGCTTGGAGCAGTGAACTTTCAAGTTGTCAATTGTTGGACCAATGAACCTGAGCATGTACTTTACGAGACGAATAAGGATTTTAAGGTTTAAAAAATTGGTCTCGTATTTCATCCTTGTCAGTTAGATTAGTGGGTAAGTTGAGTTTAGCCTCTTTTTTAAGGTCGCATTTGCAATTTTTTGTTTTTTAATTCAGTGGTTTGTTTTTAAATATTGTTTGTTTATTTAAGAATGACATTGAAATTTGGAAAAAAGACTTTCATTTATTATAAGAATAAACATTTTTAATTATAAATTATTTTCTTTGTTTTATAATTTTGTTAATGACAATCTTTTGTATATTATAATAAATGTTTAATAATATCATATGTAGGTATATATTAAGACATTAAAGTCCACAACTATATGATTATTTGATGAATTTTAAGTTATGCTTTTATGAATAAAATGCTACATATTTTTTATAAAAAGTATGTTTTCCATACGTCCTAATGTGTTTTTTACGATAACGGTGTCAAAAATGAATTTTGTTTAAGTCATAATTAAAAATAGCAGTTCTTATGTCAGGAAACCGAAAAATGTTCATTTAAAAAATTTTTTTTTTAACCCAGAAAACCTGTATGAATTAAAATAAATTTTCAACCATAGAACACTGGGACGAAAAACACATTTTATGTGATAAAAATATATTATTATATATTATATATCATTAGAAAAAATATAAACATAAGTTCCTAGGGTTAATAAGCCCTCTATGGAACAATACATAGTAGCATAGCTGAGTAGAAAAATAGAAAATTAAAACATAATGATTCATTCATCATTCTAGTTAACAATTGCTCTTATGTATGCGAAAAAAGAAGGAATAAAGAAAAAAGAAGGTTACCAATAAGTTACGTCTAATATTTTGTCATGTCAATCGAACATTGTACGCTACATTTGAGCTTCTGGCGCCATCTATCATAGGAGTTAGGTACCCAAATGTGACTTTGATATACTCGCTTACTTGTTTTCACTCATTTAGTCTGCCATTGTAAATAGTGATAAACGTTCGGAAAAATTATCGGAAAAATTATTTCTAAAGTCAAATTTAGTGCTGAACACGAATATCATAATGGATTTGTAATATTCTATTGTCCAAAAATTTTATGAGTGTTTTTTCAAAAAATGTGCGGTTGGGGCGAAACTATTCGCCCACTGATAACAGCGAAAACTACAAAACAGTTTTTTTTGTGTGCTTGTTTTTAGGTTAGAATGGTAAGAAATTGGAAGAGAAAAACCATAAAAACTCCTGAAATTAACAAATTAATTTTTATATATTTTTTAGTATTATATTATTAATAGCTACAAGAATAGTTTCGCCCTTCGTTTTTTTCGGCATAAAAAAATCGTAAAATCGCTGTAGTTCGGGACAGAATAGAGTTACAGCAAAATAATACATGGTAAAATTGTAGCTAAGAAGTCAAGTTTTCAAACGGTCCTACTCATTTTTTTTATTCTTTTTTAAATACATTTTTTAGATTCAAAAATCCAAACAAGAATAGTAATGCCCCACCCTACCCTATAATAATTATAATAATAACTATTTTTTAATATTGCTTAAATTATTTTTACATATTTAATATTCCTATTTATTTAATATAATTATATAATTTTTTAAAATTATATTATAATATTGTATATAAATATCTTTTTTTAATAAAGACACGAGTTATATTGCATACAAATTTAAAAAAAGTGGAACGCCATTTTTTGAAAACTATTGAAAATAGCCGATTTCAACGTTCGAAAAAACATTGAGAATATCAAAAACCGATATTTGTATTGTGATAATCATGTTTCCTGTTGTCTAAAATATAGAAATATTGCTTTGTAGTAGTTATAAATGCCATGCCAGTGAAGTGGTTAAAAAATAATTGCGTTGATATATTTCTCATTTTAAGGGATAATTTGTTCCACAACCTTGCAGCTCTAATAATGAACGATCTTTGCATTTTACTAGTTCAATGCGCACGTATTTTCAAAATTGACTTTCTCTCTCGTAATCTATTATATGTTGATTCCTCTAAATTCTTAAAGTAAATCAATTCGTGTAGATAAGATAGAAAGAATTAATTATTCAACTGGTAACATTCTAGTTGATGTAGGAAGAGACTCCCTGCTTCTACTTAACTGTTGGAGTACTATAAACACTTTGCGCGTAATCTCAGAAACATGATCTCTCCAAGTTAAATTTCTATCTAACGTCAAACCAAGATCTTTAACTTTATCCTTATATGTAACTGGAACCCTGCTTACTAATAGGGGAGGTAGTGATGATAAGTCCTGTACAGAAATACAGTTATTTGCTGTAATTATCATAGCCTGAATCTTATCTGGGTTAAGAGCAAGTCCATTATCATTTCCCCATTTGACAACGTAATTAATATCAAATTGAACTATTTGAATCAATTTAGGGGGCAATAGCAATGGTTTAGATAGGCAAATCTTGAAGTTATCAGCATATTTATGATATTCACATTATTTAAGCTCTACACCAAGATTAAACCAAATATTGTCAGATTTAACATAGTTTTTAGTAATACCTATTGAAATTATATCTATTGTGTGAATCTCTGATCTTAGTTTTGACTAAGTTACGAATTTTTATCAAATTAATTTGATCACTATTTTTTTGTTCTCTTAGCTAATCTGCGTAATTTATTTATTTCCTTTATTAATTCTCGTAATTCATCCAAGGCATGAATCTCTTCCCACTTGGTGGATGGTATGGCGCTTACATATTAAATGCCGAGGTAAAAAATAAAGTCAACTTCTGTCAACATTAATGTCATGCTCAGAGAATATTGACGCCCAATCATAATCCATCAAATGCGCAAGAAATTTATCCTTAGGAATGCTATCTATGTTGCGTATGAATTTAAATTGATGTGAATATGAATCAGATCCTTCCATTTCAAATTTAATATTTATCAAATCATGACTAAATAGGAATGGTACGAATATTGCATGAATTCTTTTGCTAGAGTTGATCAAATGGTAAGTTCAGCTGTGTGGCATAATAAACAATCCCGAAAAAATATTTTATGAAAAGATTATTTTAGTGCACTACACCCATGTGGCGTATGTAGTGCAACAATGAATCAAGTCAAAGTCATGTTTAACGAAAATGCGGATATAATTGGTACACCAGAGGAGCATGCTCGCCAAGTTCAAGAAATTGAAGATGCCGTGGACGAGCAAACAGAGAGCTAGACTTAGAACACAATATGGTATCAATAGAAGAACCGTGCTCATAGAAATTGCAAACTATGATCCTACATTTACACCGCCGGATTTGACACATGATGATTGGCTGGGAATTTGCATTATAACAACAAAATTATTTTTGAGAGAAACTTGTTATACTAAACTTTAATAACGCTTCTTACACTAAACCAAAGAATAGCACAGTTTGATTACGGGTATGCGTAAAAATCTTCGAAACCTTTTCCCATCAAAGAAAACCACAAATTAGATCCATCCAGTGGCTTCAAGCAGACGGCTTCACAAATGTCCCAATTAGTGACAATGCTGCCATTAATTCTTTCAGACAAAGTTGTTCCAGGATGGCCTCCGATGGATAATTATTTGAAAATGTTGGAGATTATACTGATAGCTCATGCGGATAAAATCGAACAGTCAATGCTAGGATACTTGGGTGGCTGCATATCTGAATATCTCGAGACGTTTCAAATGATTTATGAGACATTTAACTCCAAAATAACATTTATTAGTACATCGTGTCAGACATATATTAAGATTTGGACTATTAAACCAGTACAAAACAATGAGAGCGGAATCAAAGCACCAATTTTTCAAATGAATTGCTCAATGTATGCGAAAATATAAAAACCTGCCGTGGACTGAAGGTCCAACAAAGTGGGTTCCTATCAATTTACTCCCATTTAATGCACTCTTTCCAAATGTGAGACGTCTAGAAATAGCTAACTGGGTAAAATTAAATGGTGTAAAATACGTCTATTCAAAGTGTTTTTTAGCTGCTCGTTACAGTGAGCAAAATTTGCCTAAGTTCGTTGCATTACACTCAGTTGTATATAGGGATAATAATCTAATTCTCGCATGCCGCATAGTAAAAACAATTGAACACAATGTTTTGGTAATGGCATACGAAGTTGAAATTACTGAAGATTATGTATTTTTAGCGATTGATAATAATTTGTTGTCATTTCAAGTATTCTATGCACACAGTTGGAATGATCGTCGGTTCATCATATTAAAAAAAGCTTTTGGCAATTTACACTAACTTGTAAGTAATTTCATAAAATAAGTATATGTTCAATTACTTTGTGGCAAGTGTTATTTTCGGTTTACAACTAATCCTCCAAAACAATTTATTTGCGATGTACACTCTAACTCGCAATAGAATCATCGAAAACAAAAATATCAAAGTGCATTTGTTGAAGATGTTTTTTGAGGTAACGTTGGGCGGTTTTTTTTTATTTTTCGATTTTTCGTAGCACTTAAAAACCAAAAAGTCGATTTTCGCTATAAAAATTGATTAATTTGTTATTGTAAAATTAATAATTTAAAAAAAAGCTTCTAGCGTTACCTCAAAAAACATCTTCTTTAACAATTGCATTTTAATCCGCGCGCACTTGAGCATCAGTTCTAGGACCGATGGTGAGATTTCCCATTTCCGGCCTGCTCACATGGAGTACCTTCTCTGAATTTTGTAAATCCATTTTTCTTGCTGTTCGGTTGCCCTTTAGTGAAAAGCCCCGCCACCACGACAAGGTCTACCGAACATATCTATGATGTCAATCATGTCTGGCAGTGGATAAGCATCTACTAATCCTAGCACATCGAAGAGATCAATGATGTTCGGCAGTGGAAAACAATTGGCGGGGGTTACAATTTGACAGTATAGTGTTGTAAATTCGCTGAAGAATTCTGTGAATTTACAGTATTTCTTTCTGTAAATTGTCGGTTGGGTGCAGAAAGGTGCCAATTCAGACTAGTCGTGAAAAACGTACCGTTTCAAAAAACACGTGAGAAACCTGCCACTTCAGCTGCGATTTGGAAAACATGGCAACTCAGAATTGACGTTTATTTTTTTCATTTAAAGCTAGAGG